GGGTGTGTTGGGGGGCCTCTTGGGCGTTCCCTGGGAGCCCCTTGGGGGTCTCTTGGGGCTTCCTGGGGGCCCCTTGGGCGCCTCACGGGGCTTCGAGGGAGCCTCTTGGTGGCCTCCGGGAACCTACAGGCGGCCTCTAGGGCCAGAGACCTCGAAATATCGGTTGGCGGTCCCCCTCTGGGCCTTTTCTTGGGGAGCTCTTGGGGCACAGTTGGGTTGTCTGGGGAGCCTCCTGGGCCGTCTTGGGGCCCTCTTCGGGGCCTCGTGGCCCGTCTTGGAGCGATCTGAAGGGCCTCCGAGCGAGGCCGTGAGGGAGCGCTGGGAAGCGGGGAAAGCGAGAACGCCTGAATCCTTCAAAAACCATCGGATAATTAATGAATCTTGCCTCCCAGGGCCCTCTTGGGGAGCCTCTTAAGTCCGTCCTGGAGCGTATTAAAGTCCTGGGCAGCTTGGGCGTCTTCGGAGCCTCTTGGGACCGTCTTGGGCCCTCTCGGGACCTCCATTAGTCTTGGGGCCCTCGTCGGGGCCTTGTGGGCCTTCTTGGAGCGATCTGAAGGGTCTCCGAGGCCGTGAAAGGAGCACTGGAAAGCAGGAAAAGCGAGAACGCCAAAATCCAAAACACTCGGATAACGAGTGAATATTGCTTTCCACGGCCCTCTTGGGGAGCCTCTTGAGTCCGTCCTGGAGCGTGTTGGAGTCCTCGTCGGCTGTCTTGAGGGCATCTTGGGCGTCTTCGGGGCCTCGTGGGACCGTCTTGGGCCCTCTCGGGATCCCCTTAGCCTGTCGTGGCCTGCTTCGGGGCGGGCTCGGGCCGCCTCGAGAGCTCTGGACCCCCCCCGCAACCCCTGGTGGGCACCGATGAGGGGGAACAAGCAGCGGCCCGCCCCCCCCCGGGCCTACTCCGAGATAGAGAATCATGTTCCCGGGAAGCTTTCCGGGAACATGATTTGTTCGGCTCTCCAAGAGGGGAGCCTCTGGGGGCTTACCGAGGGACGCCTTTTGGCCTTGTCTATTGGAAACATGGTTGGGGCGGTGGGCGGACGCCCAAGGAATCATGTTCCCGGAAAGCTATCTGGGAAATACGATTTACCGAAGTGTCTTGGGGGCCCGCAGGGGGCTTCCCTGGGGGCCCCTTGGGGGCCTATTGGGGCTTCCGGGGGGCCTCTTGGGAGCCTCACGGGGCTTCTTGGGAGCCTTTTGATGGCCTGTCCTAGGAGCCTCTCAGGCCGGAGACCTTGAAATGTCGCGCTCTTCGGGCCCTTTGAGTCGCTCTTGGGGCTCTCTTGGGGCGCTCTCGAGGCCCTCTTGACTTATCTGGGGAACCTCCTGGGCCGTCTCTGGGCTCTCTTGGGAGCCTCTTCGGCCGTCTTGGAGCGATCTGAAGGGCATCTGACGCGGTCCGGGACCGTGGGGAGGCGGAACATGGGAGAGCGCAAGAATGCTTCAAACAATTGGAAAATTGCTAATTTTCGGCTACTGGGGCCCTTTGGAGGGGCCTCTGGAGGCGCTCATGGGGCGTTTTGGCGGCGTCGTCAGCCGTCCTGAGGTCATCTTCGGCATGTCCGGGGCCTCTGGGGGCTGTCTTTAGGCGTCCTGGGAACCCGGAAATCATGTTCCCGGAGAGGCTTCCAGGAACATGATTTCGAACGGGGCCCTCTTGGGCCTCCCTGAGGGGGCCTCCTGGGCTGGCTTTGGGGCCTCTGTCTTGTGGCCCTCTAGGGGGCCCTGGGAACCTGGAAATCATGTTCCCCGAGAAGCTTCTCGGAACATGGTTTCGAACGGGGCCCGCTTGGGCCTCCCTGAGGCCGTTTTGGGGGCCTCCTGGGCCGGCTTCGGGGCCCTCTTGGGGCGCTCTTGGGCGTCTTCGGGGCCTCTTCAAGCTTTCTTGACCATCTGTACGGCCCGCGTGGCCTGTCGTGGGCAATTTGGAAGCGGCCCGGGGCAGTCCCGGGGGGTCTGTGGGGCGGCCATGGGGGATGACGGCACCGATTTTGCCCCCCCCCCCCCCCACCACCACCACCCCACCCGGCCTACTCAGATAGATCTTAGATATATGTGTGTATACATGTATGTATGTATGTATGTATGTATGTATGTATGTATGTATGTATGTATGTATGTATGTATGTATGTATGTATGTATGATGTATGTATGTATGTATGTATGTATGTGTGTGTATGTGTGTGTATGTATGTATGTATGTATGTATGTATGTATGTATGTATGTATGTATGTATGTATGTATGTATGTATGTATGTATGTATGTATGTATGTATGTATGTATGTATGTATGTATGTATGTATGTATGTATGTATGTATGTATGTATGTATATGTACGTGTCTGAAAAAGGTTTCACTGGCAGCCTGGGCCTCAACATGGGTTACCGCATTCCCACTCCACGCGCGTCCTTGCGTAGCGCGCAACGCGCGGGCGACCCCCCAGCGGGCGGGCCACTCGCGCAGGTGGCACGGGACCAAACATTGCGGAACGACGCACGGGCGACGCGTCTCACCCCGAAGAGCGCGCGAGAAGTCGCGGGGGAAGCAAAAGGTGGCAGGCGCTTATGTTCAAAGGGTCAACGCGGGGTCAAACATCGCGAGGCAACGCGCAGGTGACGCGCGCCAACCCAAAAACCGCGCGAGAACAACCAATCGCTTCACTCATAGATTCTCGGGGCCAACGCTGGGCGAAACGAAGAAACACAACGCGCGAAAGACGCGCGCCACAGCAAAAACCGCGCGAGAAAAGCCACTTACTGCACCTGCATTCCGAAGCCCAACACGAGGCCAAACATCGCGAAAGAAACGCGCGCGGGGGCGACGCGCGTCGCCCGCTCCGAACGCCGCGCGCGAACGCACGCAAAATTGTTTCACGTGTATTCCAGTGGCCAACATGGGTCCAAACAGTGCGAGACACCGCGCGTGTGACACGCGTCGCCCCCAAAAGCGCATCATCGTGACCATGCGATGGTCATCCCTGGTCGCGCGCGCGATCCCCGCGCGTCGCTGGCCTGGCGGGGGGGGGGCGAGCAACAAAAATAATCGCGGCCAAGCGCCATGGGTTCCGCGCGTGCGCTGGCCAATCAGGCGCGGCGGGACCGGGGCATTTTTGAAACTGACCGCGGCGAGCGATTCCCCGAAATGGTTTGTCCGACGGGGACAGGGTGGGAAAATGAACCCAAATGGCCGCGCGAATTCCGCTGCGATTCCCCCGCGGGGGGTGGGCGCGCGCGCCCCTACCCCAAAAAAACAGCATTTCCCCGCGGGGCGCGGCGCCCAGACGGCGGGGGGGCCAGATAAATCCAAAACAGATTTCCCGGAGAAGTGGCCGAAGGGGGCTCGGGGGACGCATGCGCACAATCTCCCCTGATGAGTAGTCGACGTGCCCATCGAGAGGCTCAGAGGGATTTCGCAAGTAGGATAACGCGGGAAACGAGCGCATCCATTTGTCGATGAGGATAGCGCGACGAAGCGCGCCGAAAAGCGAGCTGATATTCGATGCCATCAGCATGAGCAAGCGCGAATTCGAAAACATAAAAACATATCTCATGTACTCGCTGCGTGAGTAATTTGATAAATGTTCACTGAATTTCCAAATAAGCTGCAAGCATTGCATTATTCAATCGTGTAGTTGCTCAACCATTTAATGCATGGTCGCGATCTGATTACGCATCTCCGCTTGGTTTTGTTCGAGCTTGGACTGCGTGGCATGCAGCTTGCCCGCGTCCGATTTGGTTCGGGGCATCTGCTGCTCTTCGGCCTTGGCGATCTCGCTGGTCGCGTTGGCCGTCGTCTCCTGGGCCGCGCGGATCTGCTTGTCGGTGTGGCGGATGATGTCACCGCACAAGGACTTGTTGCCGTTTTCGAACTGGTTGCCGAGATCGGCACGCAACTTGGCGATAAGGCGACGACACTGCTGCTTTGGTCAGTGGCGTCAGTGGTGCTGGTGCCGGCAACGTGAGAGGCGGCGCCGTGCTCCGGGGCTGCTCCAGCGGCGCCGCCAGCGTGTTCTGCGCCACCCTGCCGACGACCGTTCGCCGCCAGCGGGTCTGCTGCCGACGGCATGCCGGCGGCATCAGGGCGCAAGCGCTTAGGATCAGCAGCCTTGCTAGGATGCTGCGGCCCCTTTTGCCTTCGGCCCTCGGAGCGCTTCGCCGGACGAGTGTCCTCGCCATCTTTGCTGCCATGCTGGCCATTCGCAGGCATGAAAACTGGGCTGGCAGGGGCAGGTAGGCGCGAATGAGACTTGGCCGACGGTAAAGAGATTCTTATAACAAGAACGCCCAGCGACCTGCCGAACTTCGCAGTCTCGCTACAAACACTATTACTATTCGAATTACTGTTCCTGTAGTGGCTGCTATGATTAAGTGCGTCAAATTCGTTATCGGTCAAATTTCTGGCTGATAACATGCATGTTGCCAAATAGTCGGCATTCCCTGACGAATGAAGTTTTTCCTTGCTCCGACATCGGCACTCTGAGATGGATCTTGTAAACGGATGGGTTCTGAACGATGTGGTCCGACATAACTGAAATGTTCCGTCAGTCGATGTGAGGGTGTACAGTGATACGCGAGCGCTAAGAGAGACAGGCGCGCGCGCGCTTTCTCGCTAAGACGCCAACTGCGTCCATCCTCACCATTGTCGTGAGTCAAACATGTGCGCAGGTACGCAATCATAGGCCCCAAAGAGAGATGGAGGGAGCGAAGGTAACGACAAATTGGCAGCGCGCACAAGGGGGTATGGGGGAGGAGGGAAGGTTTCTTAGAAGACGACTGCTTCTTGAAGGCGCCAGCCTTACATCTACAGATCAGGCCCTCTCCTTCCAAGAAGCATGGTGTTTCTACGAATCCTTCACCCCCTCCCTTTGCCACCCTACGCGTGCCCGAACTAAACACCTCAACGAACCAGTTCCCTCCAATGCAACGCTTCTGAACGGCGATGGCGGCAAACCCATGGCGTGGGGCTCATCTGAACGGCGATCGCTGGCCCCGCCGATCCTTTTGAGGGGTGCCGAGGCAGACGCTTTTGACGCTCTCGTCCGAGTCGTCCAGCACGATGGTCGTACCGGTGGGCGGTGGTCTCCGCGGCACGACGGCCTTCCGCGCGTGCATTCCATCCCGGCCTTGCTGCAAGCCCGCCTCCCGCACCACTGCAAACAAACCTTTTTCTCCCTCCTCATCTACGCATCCACAAGGTGCTGTCTTCATCCTGGGGGCGGAGGGGTTCGTGCAACCCGCACTGTTCGCGTTGTCAGTCCGTTCGGGGCATTGCTTTCGCAGTCGTTGTTTGCGTGTCCCTCCTCCTCCATGTTCACTTTCTTTTCCTCCTCCTCCTCCTCTTCCTCCTCCTCGGCAGTTCTCCTGCCCTGAAGGGCTGGGCCGGGCGGGGGCAGTCCTCGTCTGTGTGGCCCCCTCTCTCGAGATCGCCCCCTCCCCGGCAGAGACGTGACAATGTTCCACGCTTCCATACCAGCGGGCCCCTACGTGAGGACCGCCGAGGAAGCGGAGGAGGAATATTGCGAGCACTCTGCCCAGACCTCCCGCGTCGCGATGTGATTAAGACGCGGGCCTCTGGAGCTCTCGACCTCATCCCCGCTACCAGTTATTCGTCGCGGATCGTCTTTTGGTTGTCCAAGGGCCACGAAAAAAGGCTCCTACGAACACAAATGCCTGTTGAGTTTCTTGTTCGAGGTGTCTGAAGGCCTGAGTGACACGCCGTCCCAAGTGCAGCGTTCTAAACGTGTCCACGAGTCCCAGACCGCTGCCACCAACCGCGCTGGCCTGGCTGCTCTTGCCAAACGGGGCGTCTGCGATCATCAGAACCTGGGCGCTGTCCTTCGCCTTATCCTTTTCCTTTTTCTTGTCCTTGTCTTTCTTTTCTCTCCTCTTCCTCTCCTGGCAGGGTCCAGCACGGACAGCGTCGCACGGCTGGAACGACCCTCGCAATGTAGGCCAGACTCAAGGCGCGATGTGTCATTGGGAGGCCCCTCAATTTACAACTTCATGATGCGGCCTGTCTTGCCATGTGCAATCGATGCTGTCTCTTGAACAACTGTACATATCATGACCAACAAACCGCTTGCCAAATCAACGCGGGGATGAAATCCGGTATATGTGACTGAAACCTTGCTGAACATAACCGTGTGAATACGGCCTGGATCGGGAAGACAATCCGGACATCAATCGGGAAAACCATCGGGACATCCATCGGCACAACCATGGGGAAAACAATCGGGACAACCATCGGCACAACCATCAGATCAACAATCGGGACAACCATCGGCACAACCATCGGGACAACCATCGGCACAACCTTCGGTAAAACCATCGAGACAACTATCGGGACACTCATCGGGACAACCATGAGCACAATCAAGCTTCGGTAAAAGCGTCAGGACAACCATCGGCACAACCATGAGCACAACCATTAGGACAACCATGGGGCCAAACATCGGGACAATCATCGGCACAACCATTGCGACCACCATCAGGAGAACCATCGGAACAAGCATCGAACAAAAACATCGGCACAACCATCTGGACGACCATCAGGACAGCAGCCTGGAAAACCATCGGAAGCACCAGCGAGACAAACACGGGCACAATCATCGGGAAGACCATCGGGACAACCAAAAGGACACCCACCGGGACAACCATCCATCGGGACAATCATAGGGACAACCATCGGGACAATCAACGGGACAACGATCAGCATGACCATCGGGACAACCATCGGGACGAACATCGGGACAACCATCGGCACAACCATTGGTGCAACCATCGGAACAACCATCGAAAGTGGCGACAGTTTCGCAGATCGCAGCCACCCAGGGATGGCGAGGTCTAGTTTGAATCTGGGTAGGACGTCGCTGGGTTGGCCCCCACAGATGCCCTCGGAAGTGGCGACAGTTTCACAGATCGCAACCCCCCAGGGATGACGAGGTCCAATCTGAGTCTGGGCAAGACGTCGCTGCGCTGGCCCTCCCAACAGCCCATGAAAGTGGCTGCAAGTTCGCAGGTCGCAGCCCCCCAGGGATGGCGAGGTGCAGTTGGAATATGGACGTCGATGTGCTGGCCCCTCCCCCCGGCAGCCCTCGAATGTGGCGACAGTTTCGCAGCTCGCAGGCCCCACGGACGGCGAGGTTGAATTTGAGTATGGGTAGGACGTCACTGTGCTGGCCCCCCCAGCAGCCCTCGAAAAAGCTGGCAGCTTCACAGATCGCAGCCCCTCAGGGATGCCAAGGTTGAATTCGAATCTGGGTAGGACGTCACTGCGCTGGCCCCCCCAGCAGCCCTCGAAAATGGCGAGAATTTCGCTGATCGCAGCCCCCCCGGGGCGGCGAAGTTCATTGGAATCTGGGTGGGACGTCACTGTGCTGGCCCCCCCAGCAAACCTCGAACACCGGACTCATTTCTATAGCGCTCACTTCTATAGTGCTCACATTCAAACTGAAGTCCAGAAGGGGCCGCACATGCAGGCACATGCCGCACAGTCGAATGCACATGCCCATGCAACTCCACAAAAACCTCAACAGCACTGCCGCACATGCGCGCACATGCCGCACAGCTCGATGCACAGTCGGATGCACAGTCTGGCAAAACTCTGAAAACATAAAACGCACATGCACGCACATGCCGCAGAGTCGAAACATCGGAGGAGGAGGGAGGGACAAGTGAGCAGGAAAGAGGACTGAGGGGAGAAGCGATGGGAACGAAGGAATCTAATGCGGCTGGCACTCAAACTGAAACACCATACCCGCATAAGGGATGTGGCATGATATAACACCAATCCAACACAAGGATAGGGTCAGCGCTCCGGTAATGTAGATCACGCGAGGATGTCTCAGGCGAAAAGGGCCTGACCACCTAAGCGCAAGGCATCTCGGAACCCAGAGTTGTGAGGACGTCTCAGGCGAAAGTGGCTGGACCACCATAGGGCAGGGCATCTCGGAGATCAGAGTTGCGGGGATGCCGCAGGCGAAAGTGGATGGACCACCTGAGCTCAGGGCATCTCCGAGGCCAGAGTTGCAGGGTTGTCTCAGGCGACAGTGGCCTGACCACCTCAGCGCAGGGCATCTCGGAACCCAGAGGTGCGAGGATGTCTCGGGCGAGGGTGGCCTGACAATCATGGGCAAGGGCATCACCGAGGTCCGAGTTGTGGGTATGTCTCAGGCGACAGTGGCCTGACCACCTCAGCTCAGAGCATATCCGATGCCAGAATTGCGAGGACGTCTCTGGCGAAAATGGCCTGCCCACCTCCTCAGGGCATCTCGGAACCGTTGCGATGATGTCTCAGGCGAAATGGGCTGGACCATCATGGGGTAGGGCATCTCCGAGTTCAGAGTTGCGGGGATGTCGCAGGCGACATGGGCTTCTCGGAACCCAGAGTTGCTAGGATGTCGCAGGCGAAAGTGGCCTGACCACATCAGCGCAGGGCATCTCGGAAGACAGAGCTGCGAGGATGTCGCAGGCAAAATTGGCCAGACCACGATGTGGCAGGGCATCTCTGGTCACACAGAGTTGCGAAGATGCTTAGGGTGAAAATGACCTGACCACCTGAGTTCAGGAAATCCCATACCATCATGGGGCAGGGTATCTCCGAGGTCAGAGTTGCGGGGATGCCGCAGGCGAAAATGGATGGAACACCTGAGCTCAGGGCATCTCGGCGGCCCCCCGCTCTGTTGCACGTTCCGCACATGCCCCGCACAGCCACGCACAGAAATCGCACAGGCCGGGCCAGGCAAGCAAGCGACGACCCTAAAGGACACCAAGCTCGCATTCAAACTAAACATGAGGCGTCTCGTGAGACAGCGAGGCGTCCCATGGGACAGCACGCCCCCGGAAAACTCTTGGCGCCTCCTTCGGCACAGCCCTCACGCAGATCGAGGCCTGCAAGGACTGTTGGCACCTCGTGTGGGGGCATATCTGAGGTCAGCATTGCGAGGATGTCTCACGCGACAGTGCCCTTACCATTTGGGCTCAAGGAATTTCAGAACCCGGAGTTGCGCGGATGTCTCAGGAGAAAGCGGCTGGATCACCATAGAGCAGAGCATCTCCGAGGTAAGACTTGCGAGGATGTCTCAGGCCAGGAGTGACCTGACCACCGCAGGTCAGGGCATATCCGACGTCAGAGTTGCTAGGATGTCTTTGGCGAGGGTGGCCTGACCACCTGCGAAGGGCATCTCGGAAACCAGAGCTGCGAGGATGTCTCAGGCGAAAGCGGGTGAACAACAGGGCATCTCTGAACCCAGAGGTGCGAGGACGTCGCAGGCGACAGTGGCCTGACAACCTCAGCGCAGGCCATCTCTGAGGTTGGAATTGCGCGGATGTCTCTGGCGAAAGTGACCTGACCACCTGCTCAGGGCATCTCGGAAACCAGAGTTCGGACCACACTGCCAACGTGGCCTGACCACCGCAGGTCAGGGTATCTTGCAATCCAGACTTGCGAGGATGTCTCAAGCGAAGGTGTATGGACCAACTGAGCTCAGGGCATCTCTGAGGCCAGAGTTGCGAGGATGTCTCAGGCGACAGTGGCCAGACCACCTCAGCGCAAGGCATTTGAACCCACAGTTGCGAGGATGCTTCGCGCGAAATAGCCAGACCACCATGTGACATGGCATCTCGGATGTCAGCGTCACGAGAATGCCTCAAGTCAAAATGGCCTCACCACAATAGGGCACGGCATCTCCGAGGCCAGAGCCTGATTGCCGCGGGAAACCTTGGGACCCCCCCAAGGCCCCGAAGGTCACGAAGCGTTGAAGGCCCTTGTAGTAGGGAGTCCAAACAATTCAGAGAGCGCATGTGCGTGCATGTGCATCGGCATGTGCGGGCATGTGCGGGCGCAGGATGCAGCGCATGTGCGTGCATGTGCGGGCCCGCGCTGTCGTCCGCAGGGGGGGACACAGGCGAGTGAGTGCATGTGCCACTGACCGATCTGCGAGTTCCGCACATGTTCCGCATGTGCGGGCATGTGCGTGCATGTCCATCGGCATGTGCGAGCATGTGCGGGCGCAGGATTCAACGCATGTGCGTGTATGTGCCATTGACCGATCTGCGATGCTCACACAGGCTCCGCATGTGCGGGCATGTGCGGGAATGTGCGTCGGCATGCGCGGGCAGGTGCGTTACAACGCATGCGACAAAACCCAGTGCACATAACCCCGCACATGCCCAGGCACGTGCGCACAATAGGAAATTCATCCAAAAGCGCCCGCACATGCCTGGCACATGCTGCGCACATGCACGCACATGCCCGCGCAAAAACGGCCACACATACACCCACCCAGGGGTATATGAGTGAGTGCGGTGAAAGTGGCTGCAGCTTCGCAGATCGCAGCCCCCCAGGGACGGCGAGGTCGAATTTGAATCTGGGTAGGACGTCACTGCGCTGCCCCTCCCAGCAGCCCTCGCAAAAAAAAAAAAGGCGACAACTTCGCAGATCGCAGCCCCCCGGGGATGGTAAATTTGAATTTGGATCTGGATAGGACGTCACATTAGTGCCCCCCCCCCAGCAGACCTCGAAAGTGGCTACACTTTCGCGAGTCGCAGCCCCGCAGCGAGGGTTAAGTCGGAGGCAAGCGCGACAGCGAGACGTACTCGACTCGCTCCCGCCTGGAGGCGAGGAGCGGGGGGGGGCCGAGGCTCGCGGCCGTCGAACTCGACCCCCGAGTTGACGGCCGCGTCCAAGCGCACCCCCGCGAAAGGCGCGCTCGCCCCGAGGGCGACGCGAAAATGGGGCGCCTCCGACTCGGACGGCAACGCGTCTCCCGCTTCGACCCGGGCCCAATCGAGCGGGCCACGAACCCCGGCGTGACACCGGAGAACCGCAATAGCTTGCGACGTCTCCCCGCGCGGCGCTGAGGGGGTAGGCCCGCGGGCGACTCCGCCGCGACTGC